GGCGCTCTCCCTCCAGCCAGCGCGGTCCAGCCCTCGCGCACCAGCTGTTTCTATAGGAACCGCGGAGCAGCCGCCCCTCCTGCAGAGGCCTCCGCAGGAGCATGCCCAGTGGAAGCCGCTAGTTTGGCTCAGGTCTGGGTTTCCAGTAAGTGGCGTGCGGGACTCCGGAGACATCCCCACGAGCTGAACCCGGAGCCTTTGTGTGCAGTGGGAGGAGGCGGCGCCGCCGGGCCTGCAGCCCCGCCCGGGGGGCCCCGGCAGGAACCATGCTGGCGTGCCTGACCCGGGGGAACTTTCTGGACGTCCTGCAGGAGGGCTTCAACGAGGTAACTGCCCCGTCTGCCCCTCCCACTGCCCAGCTCCCCTCCCCCAGCGCCTCCCGCCTGATCTCTGGAACCGGCCCTCCGGCGCCCTCATCCTCACGAGGACCCAGAGCAACTCGCATGCAGAGCCCTAAGGCGGCTTTGGTGGTGGGAGGGTGCAGACCCCACGGGTGAACCGCGAGACATCAAAGGGGCCGCCTGCCTCCAGCTACGCTGGGCATGGACCGTCCCTGGCTGCTAGCCTGAGCCCAGAAGACAGGACCACGGATTCAGAGGCCATCTCCTTCCAGAAGAGGTGGTCTCCACTCTCCCCAGGGACCCTCCCCCAGGAAATTCCTGAGTCTGTGGCAGAAGTGCTCACTATTCCAGGCGCTAACGAAGAGCGGAGGGAAGGATGGGTGGCATTGCTTTGGTAGAAAGTTTGAGAGGGCAGGGTGAGCAGGTAGGTGGTCCACATCAAGTGCCCTCTTCTATTGATATCTTTTTTTAAAACCAGGGTAGTACATTTCTCCACAACCAAGGGCATGGTTGGCAGAGAAGACGCAAGAGGAGAGAAGGTCTGGGTTTCTGGGATCAATTCAGGGGAGTCAGTATTGGCTCCCTTCTGTGTGAGAGTGGGGAACGGGGCCCCAATGTGACAGGCAGTATGGGAGAGGCTGGCTGGTCTCTTTCTCCTCAGTGTTTACTCTCAAAATTCTGTTACTTATTACATTTCTTTTTCTTGTGACCTAGAGAATTCTGATGTAGGATCCTCCCCCCTTGCGATGTGTTCCATATGTCTTTCATTGCTTCTGAGCCCCGCCCCTTCGCCTTATCCCAGGTTCCAGGGAGACCCCTCCAAGGAGACCTAGACTGTTAGTTGTGTGTTGCTTCCTTTCTCCTTTTCTTTTCACCTCTCCCTCTCTTCCTTCTCTTTCTTAAATTTACGATTTTTAAAAGTCAGTCTTTAAACAATGAACACATGAGGACATTCTCTTCTTAAATATGAACATTACAGGCAAGACAGTGCCTCGGCCATCCCTGCAGTCCTTCCTGGAGGTAGCCATTCTCGCGAATTTGTGTGTAAGGTTTTCTTGCTACAGCTGCACAGCAGGCTCTTTCCTCAATTCCTGTTTCTAATTAAGAAGTTCTGCAGCCTGACCTGTTCCAGAACCTTCTCCGGTCCTGGCCCCTGTGCCCGGCCTTGTTCCTGACACAGAGAGGAAAGTTGCCGAGACGCTGTCCTAACCTAACCCACTGAGCCAGGCTTTTCCTCTGGCTGAGGCGGTCACAGCCCTCCTTGAAGGTCAGCGTTTGCACCCTGCCTGCGCGGCAGGGCTCCTCGTCTTTGCACCAGGCCTCTGAACACATGTCAGGGGGTTGTTAACAAAGAGCTACAGTCACACCAGCCAGGAGGCCACCTCTTTGAGTGCTTCCGGTATTCCCGGTCCCTCTTTTCCTTGCCTTTGGGCCTGCCCGTGGTCTCAAGCGTCACACGTCTGACTCATCCACCAATTGTGCAGAAGCCCCTCAGGTCCTCCTCTGGCCTCCCCCTTTTTAAACTCAGTCCCCAGTATCAGGTCCCACTGTCTGTCTTATCAGGAGGAGAGAAGCAGCACGGAGTCAGCCCGTCTTTGCCTTCTGCTCTTTTTCACTTCCTAACATTTCCCCTGAAGAGCTTTAGTGTGTCCATAAATGACCCCTGACCTCCAGTTGTTATAAATCATAAGGGAAAGGGAGAGTGGGAGTTTTCTTTTTGTGGTGGTAATGGAGTCTTAATAAAAACAAAACAACAACAACAAGAAATAAAAACAATAGACACACAACTTTATTAATTCACCTCTAGAATAATGTAGTGATGCCTCTTTTTTCTTTCTGACATTTGATTTTTCTATCCATCCTGTAAATTTCCCTTCCACCCCATCTACAGGCTAATGTATAATCTATTCCCTTCTATTAGTGGATTTGAACTCTGATAGCCAATCAGTATTTTGGTTTCTCTGAGAAATTGACATAACCTAAATAATATTAATAGTAATATGTTAAATCTCAAATGTCCCTGAAAGTTTAAATAATTATTTTACATACATAATAAATTATATTGAATAATTCTTTTCACGTACTGTATCACATTTAGTGCTACTGAGTAATGCTATGTTAGTTATTTCAGAGATGATGGGGCCCTGATTGACCTATTGCAGCCTCTAGGGTTGCTTAATAGATCCAGGTATATTCAATCTCTTTTGTTAGAGTCGTGTGATAAGGATATAGATCGGGACTTAAAGGCCAGTGTCAGAATACACTTCAGTCCCTCTGAGAAGCTCTTCACTGAGACTAAGAATAACACACCTATCCAGTCATCTCTGGGAAATGCTCCAAGCATATCTGAAGCTATTCTTCATCACCCGGATGCTTTTAAGGTCTGTGTGGTTAGGGCTGTGACGTCATTCTCTGTGGCAGCGAAAACTGCCACAGGAAATGAAGCTATGGCCCTAACTGGTTAATTAACAGAGAGAAACCTTGTCCTTTGAATCAAGGCTTTCCTCTACCCACTGTTAGCCTCTAATCTCAACCATATGCCATGATGCATAACTGTGCATGGCAGAATTTTCTTCCATTATGTTCCCTGAATAGCCCTGGTCTGAACACACCTGACAAATTACTCATAGAATTGACTCATGTCAATGCAGTCCCTTTTATCAACATGGTTACTCTGCATTTTGAATTATCCACAACTTTTGGCTACAACCACATTCTATAGCTCACCTGGCTGTCATCCCCAACTCCTATGTTATGGGCGTGCCCTTTCTATCATTTGTCCCCATTCTGATCTGCCTCAAAGCTATTTATTTGTTTTCTCTGCCACTTGGTATTGATGTCATATGAACATTATCTTTGGTTAATGTGCCAAGTGTTTTTTCTGCAAGTGTTTTTCTAGGGGCTAAACTTTCTTTAAAAAAGTACTTTGGTGCATGTGTTGGAAGATTTGGGGAGACCAAAGACTGTAATATAGTCTGGCAAGTAAGCATTCATTCATTCCATTATTTAATTCATTTATTGGATGAGGAAATGGATAAAATAATAGAAAAACAACTAGTTCCTGTTTCCAAGGAATTTATAGGAAGAGATTTATAGGTGTACTATAAGAACCATAACAGGAAGCTTAATGTGATAAGTACCATGGAAGAGGTAGTGTTTGTGGGAGATTACACAGGTACCTTCTACTTAATAATATCATGGAAAGTACCAACTATTTACCAACTGACCTGCTCACCGAGACCAGACTTTTCTTCTTGCTAATCTGGAAAACATGTATGCAAGTATTCATTTAATAGACAGTCACTGAATGACTGTGTTCACCAGGCACCATGCCAGGTTCTGGAAACAGAAGTAAAAAAACATAGTCTGTGCCCTGGTGGAGCTCCCAGGGCAATGAAAATAAAGTAAATGGTCAGAGTCTGAAACTTGGGGAAATTGTAGTGATGTAGGAATCCTGCCTGTCAGGCAGAGTGAGCCTGTGCCTGGCTGGAGTATGAATGGCCCGAGGGACTGAAAGTTGTTTAGCTGATTTGTTAAAATGTTGGTCAACAGGAAATCAGGTGTCTGAGCCTCAACCTTTTAAGCACATGACCTGGGAGACTTTCCCTACCAGTTTTTCTCCACGTAGAAAAGTAAAAATTTAAATCTCACAGAGATTCATCTGCTTGGTAGTCCCTGAGAAACACAGGAAGAGCCTTTGTCTGGCGCCATTCCCGTAGGGGGACATAGGGCCAGTGAAGAAGAGGATTGGCATGTGGAGCAGCTGCTGCAGACCTCGCTCCTAAGCGCCTCACGCCTTCCGCAACCTGGGGCCAAGCAGAGGCGGTCAGACATTTCCACAATGACCTCCTCTGTGCTTTGCTGTAGAAATTAAAGGCCAGTTAAGTCTTTAATGTAACAAAGCACCACACTCGCCAACCTTCTTTTTTCTATCCTGACTGATTTCTCCACTCCTCACCCGAGCTCATTGGCTTTATTCCCACAGGAGTTAGTGCCAGCTAAACAGATGCTCCCTGGCAGCAAGCTCTCAGGCAGCGTCATGTTCCTCATGGTGAGTGATGGGCTGGCCAGGCCTGTGGAGCAGTGATAGGGCACTGTGTGCCAGGTGCCACTTCCCCATGACTCGCCCTGTTGTCGAGGCTGTTAGGACTGAAACTTTCCTGAACGTATTTCCTTATTTGCTATCCTCAAATGCCGGGGCTCTTGTTCCAGCATTAAGAAGGGTTCTGGAATCTGGAGAAGGCTGTGCATAGATTAAATAGGAGTCCAGAGATGAAATATAATTTTGAAAGGCATTTGGGGGTCAGAGGAGCCTAGTTTAAAGGAAACTAAGATCTCCTCATCTCAGGACCCCATGCTTTTTATTAACACAACTTGTCCTGAGGTGAGGCAGAGATATACACTTCAAAGGGTCAGGGTTTCGTATACAGAGTCCATTGTCAGAATAGAGGAAATTAGCCAACTGCTGTTCAGGTGTTTGGCCAGTAGAAGGCAATAACATGTAGATTAAGATGCCCTGAGCTGTCTGGCAGCCAAGCAATCATTCCTTTTCAGGTTTGGGGAAATGTCATCAGCCATTCCCAACAGGTGACAACATATGTGACTCAGCCCTTGTTGAGTCCCCAAGTTCCATCAACCTTCTGATGAAACTCTTGAAATCTGACATGCTGGAACTGGCTTCCGGCACTCAAACCAGGCCCTATTTAAGTGGTCATGGACATAACCTTCAGTGGTCACGTTATTAGTGGAAGTGAATTTCTTGGGGTGCCTCAGGGAAAAGAATTTTCCCACGGGGGGATGGGATTTTGTGGAAAGCTTGATTGATAATGTAAAATTAAGGGGCTTGGATGAGGATTAAAAAAAAAATCCTTAGCCGGTTTGGCTCAGTGGATAAAATTAAGGGGGTTTCCCTCCAAGGTCCCATCTCCATGTCCTGCCATGGAAAAAGTCCAATCTTGTCTTCAACAGGGCTAGGATCAAGGCCACTGCCCAGACTTTCTGTCCTATATTAAATTACAGTCCAGCCTGACTGGTTTGGCTCGGTGGTTAGAGCGTCGGCTGCCAGACTGAAGGGTTGCGGGTTCAGTTCTGGTCAAGGGCATGTGCCACAGTTGCAGGCTCAATCTGCTTGTGCAGGAGGCAACCAATGGAAAACATATCCTCAGGTAAGGATTAACAACAACAACAACAAAATTATAGTTCAGTCCAGCATCTGACTAGCTTAGCCTGTCTTCCCAGCTGCAGTTCATTGCATGTGGGGTCCATAGGGCCACGGGCCATGCAGCTGCTTAAGGCCATATGGTAGGTTAGCACACAGGCGAGTGCTGGTTACAGAGCAGGTGAGAAACAGGAGTGCAAGAGCAAGAGAGCACAAGAGAGGGAACTCCCTTTGGGGACTTTCACCTTTCAGGATTTCATGGGCTTCCATCAGGGTCCACCCTCCTAGCCAGTGATCTTTTTCCCAGGCTAGACTAACAGGCAAGCGCCTTTCCTGTGTCACCCCAACTTAACTGCGAATGTGCCCATCTCCCCCTTTGTTCGATCCCTTCCCCCAGTGATCTGCAGGGAATGGACTGGTTGTTACTGGGGAGAGTGAAGCTGTAGCTTCCTGGTGAGGCTGCGCAGATGACCATACTTATAATGTCTGGCCTCCCCTTTGCTCTCTTTCTATTATTAATATTAATAAACTAGCTAATTATGATAACAATCATATATATTAGGGAGGTAGGGAACCAATCCCAAAGGCCCTAAGAGTGGGCTCCCTGCCCTGTTTTTAGTAAAGGACACTCATAGATTATACAGTGATACCTCATTTCATTCTTTCATTCATTCATTCATTCATTCACTCACATGCATTTATTGAACACTTATAACATATACTTGTGAAGAACAGAGTGTTTATGGAACTCGTAACTAATGGAAATTTAAAAATAAGGCTAGGAGATGAAATCTTCCGGAAAGTTTTTAGGTTTTTACTTTCTGGTATATTATCCTTTGACTACTGGGCTGAACATTAATACAAAGAGCCCTACCCATGGAGGGAAGAAAAAATCTAAAATTTTTACTTGTGAACTTTACTTTTACCTAATTAGCCACCAACTTCAATGAATAAATAGCCTTTCCTGGTTCAGTAAGACCTGAAGGAATTAATAGAAAAGAAATGCCATATTACATTCTTTTCCTGGCAGAATTTAGGCCAGTAATAACTCAAGGTTTTCACACCTCCTGCCTTCTTCTCAGTTTATCAGCAACACCCCACCCCATCTCCTCAGCTTCTGCTGCTGGAGGGTGTCCGGTATCTGGTTTCACTGTAAAACTGATTTCCTTCCTGAGCCATTCAGGTCTCCTGCACTCTCCAGCACGCTGCGGGCAGGAAGCCATAGAGCAGCGGTTCTCAACCTGTGGGTCGTGACCCCTTTGGGGTCGAACGACCCTTTCACAGGGGTCGCCTAAGACCATCGGAAAACACATATATAATTACATGTTGTTTTTGTGATTAATCACTATGCTTTAATTATGTTCAATTTGTAACAATGAAAATACATCCTGCATATCAGATATTTACATTACGATTCATAACAGTAGCAAAATTACAGTTATGAAGTAGCAACAAAAATAACTTTATGGTTGGGTGTCACCACAACATGAGGAACTGTATTAAAGGGTCGCAGCATTAAGAAGGTTGAGAACCACTGCACTATAACCTCTGAGCCTCAGTTTCTTCGTCTGTAAAGTGGGAGGGGGTAGAGTAACAGTGTCTATCTGTGCCCAGTGCCTGAAACACCTGACTGATAGGAGGAGCTCGAAGTAGCAAAAAAACCATTTTATGGCTGGGGGTCACCACAACATGAGGAACTGTATTAAAGGGTCGCGGCATTAGGAAGGTTGAGAACCACTGCCATAGAGCCTACTTCCTGAATGTTTCTACACTAGGGTTGGGAGGTCCCACAGACTTCTCTGGAAAAGCCCAATCAGTGCTTTTGCAACTCTAACCAAACAAGTTCCCTGTAGGAATTCTCTTTGACCTGCGGCTTAGAGGAGATAGAAAGCAGAGGCTGGGTTTACAAACTTACTTAGAAGGAAGGGCAGGTCCCAAAGAAAACCAGGTACATTGGGCGACCGGAAAGCTTTCCAGGTCAAGATTTCCTGCACAGATTAAGATGGTAGGCAGAACTGTCTTTATTGGAAGAGTTTGAATTTATATTGCAGGGTTACTTGGAGTGTCTTGGAGGAAGCTGATGGAGAGTATGGGGTTGCTAAGACCTCTCCCCACACCAGCTGCTCAGAGCTTTTGAGTGGTTCAGTCTTGTCAAGCCAAAATCCTGCTCACACAGATTTGATTGTTGCTCTGTCTACTTTTCTTTTCCCTGAGACCTGACTCAGAGGGTTGTCATAAAACCCTCAGCCTTTCTAGACTTCCAGATTGCTCAGGCATCCTTCTAGCTTCCACGGAACAAGTTTCAGATGTTAATTCTGGATCAAGATTAGTTCTTTGTGGTCACAGACATAGTGTATCTGATTGTCTTGCTTTTTTTGTCAAATGATCTTTAACTGAAATATTTTCCTTTGTGGTTCTTAACTAGCCCAGCATTCCACTGCACCACTGTTGATGTCATCCATGATGTCATGAGGGTGGTAGCCATCCACATTGCAGCCCGCAGACTGGGCATTCCTCAGGATCTCTTTTAATGTTTCCAGAGAGTTCCCTAGCTAAAGATCGGTGCTGCATCTGTTGGGCAATGTTGATAACCTCATCAAGAGTGATATTTACACTGTGCTTAATGGGTGTGTTTTTTTGCTTCTTTCTGTCTCTTGGTGGTTCTTTGAAGGCCTCGATGATGAGGGCAAAGGCAGAAGGTAGGTACTACCTCAGTGTGGGCCAATCTGTTCTGAATGGTCAGTTTCACTGTGATCCCCAGATCCTTCCAATCCCTGGTTGCTTTGGCGATGTCATCACCAACCTTTTTAAAAAAATATTTTTTAAAATTGATTTTAGAGAGAGAGGGGAAGGGAGACAGATAGCTAGAAACATTGATGAGAGAGAAACATCATTGATTGGCTGCCTCCTACATAACCCCTAGTGGGGATGAAGCCCTCAACCCAGGCATGTGCCCTGACCAGGAATCGAACCGTGACCTCCTGGTTCAGAGGTCAACATTCAATCACTGAGCCACACCCACCAGGATCATCACCAACCTTTTTAGGAGACAGACCCAGGGGTCTAATTTTGGGGGTAAGGGCAGATGTGGCACCAACTTCCTCGCCAGTGCACCTCAGGTATATGACTTTGGTTTCGTTGGAGTCAAACTTTGGCAGCATGGTGGAGGCAGCTGGTATTGGATGAACCCAGATTTGGGATGACTGAAGAAAGTTATACCTTGTCGAAAGCTGAAAGTATCTTGCTTTTCTTATTAGTTTGGTTGCAAGTGCCAAGAACCCAGCTTGAACTAGCAGAGATAGAAAATGGAATCTACTGACTCATGGAATCCAAGGAAAGGCTAAAAAACTAAATCATGGAATGGGCAAGGATGGAGCAGTCTCAATGAAAATCAAGAACTCAAACACAGGCAGGATTTCTCCCTCTGCTTTTTGCCTCTTATCTCTGGTTCTGTGGGTGGCTTTATTCACTTTCACTACAGATGTGAACATCATGCCTATGGCAGCATCTAAGTTTTATATCTTACAACTTTGTAAAAGAGAGACTGGGAGAAACAGAGAAGGGTGGTGAAGGGGACTGATTCTATTCCTGAATTTGAGACCAAAAAAGTCCAGAGATCTACTAGGCTTGACCAGTCAACTTAGCTGGATCAGTCAACTGTGGCCAGTGGAAGGGATAATATAATGCCAGACCAGTACTAGGACCCATCACTGAGTATGTAGAGCAGCGGTTCTCAACCTGTGGGTTGCGACCCCTTTGGCGGTCAAACGACCCTTTCACAGGGGTCGCCTAAGACCATTCTGCATATCAGATATTTACATTACGATTCATAACAGTAGCAACATTACAGTTATGAAGTGGCAACGAAAATAATTTTATGATTAGGTCACAAC